CACTGCTACCTGATAAAGAAGATTTAATCATTTAAAGTATTGATTTCTTCTTCTTCTTCTTTTTTTCATGGTGAGTTGGATTATTGCTTTTATTTTTATAGAAATGTTATTTAATCTATATGGACAAAAATAATTTACCATATTATTGTATTATAGAAACAATTTACAAAGTGTTGATAAGCAATTATAATATAAAAAAAAATATTAGGTAATATATAATGATTTTATCTTTACCACAAAACCTAATTAATCAAAGATTAAGAAAATGCAAGTATAAGATTCAAATTGAATCATATATAATAAAATTCCAACAAGTATTATAATGATATTTTTTTTATAAATATATACTGAATTAATTATAGAGACCCATTGAAGTGTGTAAAAAAGACAAAATTGAAAAATAATATATAAAAAAATAGAAAAATATGGCCGGGACATAAGATTGTAAAGGTAAAACTTAAACCAATATAATCTTGAAGAAACTCATTTACATCATTTTACAACTAATTTTATAATTGCTAGATATAATTTTGTTTTTCTTTTTTCTTATGTTCTTTTGCCATTTGAGACAGGGGTTTGAATTTTTTATACTAACTTTTATGAGTGAGATTTTTTTTTAAATTTTAAAATGTTTAATTCATATGTAGGCTAACATAAAATTATTTTTGAAGAATCACCTCACTTTCAATTAAATAAGTTCAAATCTTTAATGTAAGATGATGGATCTATGACCTTTTCTAATTACTTAAATTTTTAAATTGAAATGATTATTTGAGATTTAACTATATTGAAAGAAATAATTTATAAAATTTTCATTTCTTAAGAAAAATAAAGAACATATTTTTTGAATACTTTTCCTTATAAGCTGTGTTTAATTATCATCAAGAATGAAAGGTTTGGAATAAGATTGGGAAATTGAAATAGGAAAAAGAAATCAGAATGATAATTTAGTTCTAATATCATGTTTGGAACAGTGACAAGAAATTGAATTGGAAATTTAAGATTTTTAATATCTCATTTTTAAGATGAAAAGAAAATGTGATTAAAAAATAATTCAATGAAAAGTATAAATAATGAATAAAAATGATATTTTACTTCTCATTTTCCCCCATTTTCATTTTTATTCCCACTTTTCTTTTCAGTCCAACACCTTAAAAAATGAAATTAAAACTTCCACTCTCATTCCTAGCAAATTTTTTTCTTTTTTTTCACGAAACAACACCTTAATGAATGATAAATTAACTACTAGAATATCAACAGTAGATATCCTTTATTATTCAGAGCATCTCCACACTTGAAATCATTGGATATCAAGTATGAATTTAATCAACCTATGCACACGATTCATTAATTGAATATATTATAATGTATGATGTTGGAATAGATTAGCTATAATTATTTTTCGAATAAATAGGTTGATTGTTTTTTTTTTTGGTACATAGATTGAATGACTTTGAAACCTCTAATAATGGTTATAAGTGACATGATTACGAAATGTACATGCATATAATTCACATGTTACGATACATATATGATCCAAATCAATGCATTAATATTATTTTTATTTTATATTAATTTTAATTTTAAAAACTATTTAAAAAAAGTTCAATAAAATGAAAAGAAAAATATGATAGAGGCCGGCGTATTCCATCAACTTATAAATAAACTAATCAAGATTATTTTCTCTCTCAACCAATCTTGGAAAGCGTATCATCACATGATTTGGTGCATTCAATTAAATAAAATCTCCTAAACAAAATAACAACACTAACAATAAAATTATTATAATAAAACTAAAATTAGAGTATATTTAATATTGTGATAATAATTATTTTGCAAAGTATTTTTTTAAATATATTAAAATAATTTTTTTAAAAAAATTATATAATCTAAAAATATTTTTAAAATATAAAATATATATTTTCTAAAATTTACCTTTGACACTTTTTACATAGATAATAAATGACAAGAATTATTAACTAATACTCTAAATGGCATGGAAAAAGTATTAGTATTATAGCTTTTTTCACGTCACATGTTTTTTTTCTTTTTTTTTTCTTTTTCAAGGATTTATATTTTTTTTCAAGATTGTCTTTTATTTTTGTATTTTTAAAAAAATTATCTTTATCAATTTTTTTAATATTAAACTGATTGAAAATTTAGTTTTGTAATTAAAAAAAAACATTATAAATTACTATAATATTTCTCTATATGATTTTTTTCTTCTTTTTTATGATTTTTTTTAAAAAAATAGTATTTGTCGATTTTATTTTTTCATATCTGGCTGATTAAGAATTTTACCTCATAGTTTTTTATTTAAAACATTATAAATTGGTATAATATTTCCTTACATGATTTTATTTCGCTATAATGTTTTTCTATGTGTTTTTTTTTAAATTATCTTTGTCAATTTTTTTTTAATATTAAACTGATTGAGAATTCAGCTTTAACTTTTTTCATATTTTTTTATTTTTTTTCAAAATTGTCTTCTTCTTTTTTTTATGATTTTTTTTTTCAGAATTGTCTTTGTCGATTTTATTTTTTTCATATTAAGTTGATTGAGAATTTAGCTTCGTAGTTTTTTTTTAAAATATTGTGGATTGCTACAATGTTCCCTCACATGATTTTTTTTGTTATAATTTTTTTTAAATTATCTTTATCAATTTTATTATTTTTAATATCGAGCAGGTTGAGATTTACAACTATAGATTTTCTCATTAAATACTATAGATTGCTATAGTATTTCCTTGCATGATTTTTTTTATTCATTTTATTTTTTGTATATTGAGTTGGTTAAGAATTTAATTTTTTTTTTAAAACATTTGAATTGCTATAATGTTCCCCACATGATTTTTTTATTATGATTTTTTTTAAAATTTTCTTTGTTTATTTTATTTTTTAAATATTAAATTAATTAAAAATTTAATTATATATATATTTTTAAATATTATAAATTATAATAATTTTTTTTCATATTATTTTTTTAATAAACCCACAATAATAATATACAAGCATACTGTAAGTCTGTGATTTCACGCGGGCATTGAATCTAGTGATCTTACGAAACCCCGTTGGCTCTTTTATTTCTCTAATCGAGTAAGGTTATGATTGTCTTTTGGTTGCGCAAGGGACCGAACTCATTTTAATAGAATTAAAAATAAGAGTAGCCAAGGAGGCATTTGGAGTTCCCGACCACCTGAGAGTCAAAGAAAGCGATGCGTTCGCCGACCGCAGCGCGGTCGTTTACACAGCCCATGCATTTCAATTTTCTAGACACGTCTCTCTCTCTCTCTCTCTCTCTCTATATATATATATATATATATATATATATAAATATTCCTGATGAATTATTTACATGGAGCACTCCTTTTGAGTTCGCCTTTTCTTCACGCATTTAATAACCATCCCCATAAATATTATTTTTTAAATTTGCGATTGTCATCTATATAATATAATGCAAAAAATAAAAAAAAATGTGTACAAATTCCGAGGACACACCATCTTTTTCGTTTGCAAGCAAACATCCTGATCTCCATCTCGTGGCCATGCAAGCTAGAGCTAGCAATAGTTATAGCTGCTAACTACATTATTGCCCCCGCTGCACTCTATATTGAATTTTTTTAAAAAATATTTTAAAACATTCAGATCTTGTAAATATGTTTTTTTTTAAATTAAATTAAATTATAAAAGAATTGAATAAGTATATAATTAGAATGATGTAAGAAGTTCAAAAATGTCCCACACAATCAATAAAAATATAATTTTATTTAAAAAAAATCAAAATGATATTTAAAAAATAATATTAAAATAATAAAATATTAGATTGAGCTAACATGTTAAATTTGCTATTAAGATCAGGAGACCATAATAACCTTATAGAAAATAAATAAATATTTTTTATTAAACCTTATTTTCAAACAACTCAATATTGAATGATGAAATTTAAAATAAAATTTAACTAAAAAATAAATTGAATCAATTCGGGTTAATTTGACAAATTTAAGTCACTAGATTGAGATAATTATATAAATTTTTTTTAAAAAAATTATTAAATTTAATTTTCACTCAACTCAATATTAAAGGGTAAAAATAAAAAAATAATTAAAAAATTATATAAAATCCTCCAAAATCAACTAACCTAACCTGTAATTCATGTAATAAAACCGGGATAATATCATAAAATACAAACCAAAATAAATTATAAAACTTAATTCCGAATTAAATCAACAGTAAATAATGCAATTAAAAAAATAATTAAAAAAACTTAAGTTAACCTACTTAATATGCAATTCAAATTATAAAACTATAATAATCATATATAAAATAAATGAAAAAAATTATAAATCTTAATTTTTAATTAATCTAATTTAAAACAATTATATTAAAAAAAAACCTAAATCAGCAGAACTAATCTTTATTTATTACGACACTGAAAGTCCAACCTTTTAATATTTATTGCTACAATGGAAAGTCCAACCCTTTAAAAAAAATCGGAGGATGAAAGTGTAAAAGAACTTTTATTACATGCTAATAATTCTCTTTCCTTGTCTCTTACACTCACTTGTATATATAGATATATATATATATTTTTTTGGTAAACTATTTTGCTTATATAACAAATCAGATCAGAGACGTGAAGAACAGGGCAGAAAGCTCTGGGGGCGTTGTGTAGTCAGGGAGGGAAGAACTAGCTAAGCTAGGAGATGCAAGGGAAGAACGAGTTATAGATTCATAGTTCTCAAATAGAGAACATTAATTTAGAAAAGAAACAAAAATCAAGTTAAGCCTTTCTTACCTAATTACCTTACCAGCGTTTGAGCTCTCTCTATCTCTCGTTAAGCCTTACCTTACCAGCGTTTGAGCTCTCTCTCTCTCTCTCTCATTTATATATATGTTCACCAAAAGCATAACAAATACATGCAACAATTCAAACTCACACAAGCACCCCATTCCCCTAGAGGTTCACTGCCTCTCTCCCCCCCCCCCCCCCCCCCCCCCCCCCCACTCTCTTTCTCAACCCCTCCACGATCTCCTGCAACTTGTTTTTCCGTGTATTTATTACTCAATAACACGCACGCACGCTCTCTCTCCCTCTTGCATAAATCCCACCAAGGACCCTTTTCAGTTTGTTAGCTGTATCTCTTCCGAAAGATCACAAACACTTTTCCATATATAATTCCCACCCAATAGAGAGATCAAGCAAGGGGAAAAAGTTATCATGAACAGTAGTTTTGGTTCTAAAAAAAGAGAAGACTCCTTGAAAGGAAGATGGCAAGAGATTAGAAGATCATTCCCAAACATGAGCCAGTACACTCGACCAACTTCTTCTGTACCCAACTTCATGGCTAAGCCTATAACCTTCCCTGGCTTTGAAGATGACGATGTTGTTTCCACCATTATCCCTCCGGTGACAGTTGCTCTCGAGGGCCGTTCGATCTGCCAGAGAATTAGCCTTCATAAGCATGAAAGCTATCATAGCCTTGCAAAGGCTCTAAGGCAGATGTTTGTTGATATTGGAGCTGGCAGCGATTCAGGACTGAACACATCATCAGCATCAGATAGTGTTAGTGATCATGATCTTGATCTTTCAAATGCGATTCCTGGTCATCTCATTGCCTATGAAGACATTGAAAATGATCTCCTTCTTGCCGGTGACCTTAACTGGAAGTACGTATACGCTATCATTTGGACTTGTTATATTTCCATGTTTTGATATCATTGACTAAATATAGGAGTATATCATTTATTTTTAGTATGAAACACGAGTTCTCTTCCAATCCAACACTATCCAATTTCTGTTTAAAATCCATGATAGAGGTGGTATTTTTCTCACGGACTCAATTATACAGTAATAGATCTGTTGACATGTCAATTAGTAGATCAATATACACCATATAAATCGATATATTATATGATCCAACGATGATTGATATAATTATTCGTTAATTATCAAGCTAGAGCATGCAGACCCAATAACATGTATTAGTGTTATTTTCTTATTCTTTTGATGATCATCAATTATTGGTTATGAATGACACTATTGCTGGCTCCTAATTTTCTTCTCTCGGTGTGAATAGAGATTTTGTGCGTGTGGCCAAGAGGATCAGGATACTGCCCGCAAAGGGGAATTCAAGGAAGGCAACAGGAGGGACGGCTGTGCGATGATTGCATTGATCAAGGTGTAAGAAGCCATGGAAGTTATATATACGTACACTTTATTATTGAAAAACTGGTTTTACGTGTTTTTATTATGGAAAAGATGGTGGCGATTAAGCTAGGTGTCTTTTGAAGGACATGAAGTTCTTCCGTGTGTAAACCGTAAAGGACCTCGTTTCCTTCCATGAATGAAAGAACTTTAATTTCCCGATTTCGGTCGTTGTAGCTGCATGCTGTAAGGAAGGTCGGTACACGTTCGCTTTAGTAATTAGTTGGGCTATCTAGTCAGAAACTAGTAACCTTATACCATACGTATACGTGCCCATATGAACCAAAAGATTATCAAATCCTTTCACGTATACGTGATTCATTAATTATTTCTCACGAATATATTTTTATCTAGCTCTAATGAATTGACAGCTTATAAATTTAAAACAAGCCTTTGTCCTTTTTGATTGAGACTATTAGTTATACGTTGTCTCATCACTATACTAGTTGAATATTTAAAATAGATTCATTTATTAGATTAGGTGTTTAAGTTATTTATCTAAGAACTCTGAATAGAATCTTCAGAAACAGTACAAGTTAGTCATAGGTAATTTTCAGTGTCAGATTATTATTTTTCGCTGTAAAGTTTTTATTGGTCTACTAGTTAAGTTAGTTCTCAACTTGTGTCGATAACTTGCTCAAATACTACATGAAATGTCTTGTTGGATATATATAAATATATGCAACGATTAACTACTATAAATAATACAACACATAGAATATTTATGCATTTGTTGAATACTATACAATGAGACACGGGCTGCATAGCCAAACACTCCTAATTGACACAAGATTAGCTAGGCTAGCTAGGTTAGAAGCATCGAATCCACGGAAATCACTTCGAGTAATATAACTGATGGTTTATTGTAGCACCTCAAAATGAATTATTTGGTGCACAAGGTACAGTAGGATTAGTTTGTAGTAAAAAAGAAATTGCAATCCAAGTTTTTGGTCATTGCGCCTCTTTTTATTGAAAAAAATACGAGATTCCGGTCTTAGCACATCGCTATTGTGGCAGCGGCGTGGCTGTGATTTCCGTCTTAACACATCCCAAGTACTTACCAAGATTATCAGTCTTAGCAAAACCACTACTATGGCTGATTAATCCTGCAAAACTAGCGGGGACATTCTTCGAAAATAATATCTTAGTTTTAGCAACACTTAACCTTCTGACCAGAAGCTTCACAAAATAAGTAGTTAAGGCAACTCAGAACCTGCTTCATTTGTCCCTCATTCGCTACAGCAAATATATAGGAGCATGCATATCATCTGCAAAAAAAAAGATGCGAGATACGGGGTCCCAATTTGCTGATAGCATGATAGTAATTGGCTTCCAATCTCCTGAATCCACTGCCTCAAGAATGAAATGTGAGATTCTCTCCAGGCATAACACAAAAATATAGGCTTCACAAAAAATTAGAATGGAATTTAGCTATAAGGGTTTTATATCTTTTGTTTTCTTTTATATGTTCAACTATATACGGACATATAAAAAAAAACCAGAAAATTTAATTAAAAGATTAAATTGAAAATAAAAATAACTTTAACAAAAGAAAAAACAAGTCAAAATAATAAGAGTCAAATCAAAAAATTAGAATGGAATTTAGCTATAAGGGTTTTATACCTTTTGTTTTCTTTTATATGTTCAACTATATACTTACATTTCAACAAAAAAAAAGAAATTTCAATTAGAAGATTAAATTGAAAATAAAAATAACTTCAACAAAAAAAAAACAAGTCAAAAGAATAAGGGTCAAATTAAAAAAAAATAATACAACATAAACCTTAATTGAATGATGAAATTAAAAACTAATAAAACTTCAACAGTAGGGTCAAGAAAAAAATTAAAAATAAAAAAAATATGGACCGAATTGAAAAAAATATGATAAAATTTAATTGAAAGATTAAATTGAAAATAAATAAAACTTTTATAAAAAAACTAAGAACAAAAATAAAAAACCAAACAAATAAGGACTAAGATTGAACTAAAAACAAAAGGGATAAATATATATTTTTTAGAATATAAGAGGAAAAAAAAAATAACCACCAACAACAAACTAACAATTATCCAACATCATACACCACATCAAGAAAAAAAAGAACATGATAACTTTTCCAACTACATGGTAGAAAAACAAGTTTGGCTGCCTATATGTGTTGCATGCGTAACTTATAAAACGTAAATATCATTTACTCATCGACATATAATAAGAATGCACAAATAATTTTTTTCATAAAAATTAATTATTTTGCACAAAAAGATCAATATGCCCTCCATTAAAAAAAAAATCATGTGAAAGGACAAAAATAAACCTTTTATAAAGACAAATATGTCCTTTACTTTACTATTTAAAAATTCTAAGAGAAAATAAATGTATCCTTTAAAAATATTTTAATGATCACCCTCAATGCCCAAACTTTTATTTTTCCATTCAAAGAATAAAATGATAATTTCTTGACATAAATATAAATATGTATCTCGTGCTCCCATGAAAAACTAGACTCTATATATGCACGCAAGTACATGTGGTCCTTTCCTATGCTGATCCCTTGTTAACCACTACAATTACACAGTAATTGATGGCTAGCTTTGACGTTTCTTATGGAACTGATGCCATAATAACACATAATTTGGGTCCTTACATTTCCAGCCGTAACTTAAACATGTACCATAAATCTAGAAAACCAGACTATATACTTGCTTATGATAAAAATAAATAAAAGGAAGCATGTGTATTATTGTCCTTTTAAGTGTGGCCATGAGCCTTTTATTTTATAGAAGAAGTAGTTGCACGATCGAAGAATATCCAAGGCTAATATTTCAAATAATGCTAGCAGCCAGCGATCATCATGGGCTAAAATAACTTTAATTCTGAGAGTGCTTGGTGGGCTTAGAAGAAATCATAGGCTAAGTGATCGTGTGGATACAAGTTGAGAGCTTTTTCTATATAATCCAACAGAGAAATTAAAGTGTTTTTCTAGTCTTTGAAATAAATGATTTCTTGTAGATTGGTAATTTTTCCTATTTTGTAGGAAAAGAGCTAGGTTCAAGATTTTAGGGTATTTTTAAAAGAATACTTGCTGTTATTTTTTAAATATTTTTTTACTTGAAAATATATTAAAATAATATTTTTTTATTTTTTAAAAATTATTTTTAACGAAACATGAAAAAATATTAATTTGAAATAAAGAAAAAAATAATTTTTTTTTTAAATTGAAAACAACCGGTAATTTAGTATTGAAAGGGGAGTACTTATTGTAGTTATCTGACATGCCCTAATACACAATTTAAAGACAAGTTTCTTTCAAGCTTTTGAGCAATTTAAGTTCATAGTTTTATTTACAGCTCACGTGTTTATTTATCTTTGCATATAATTAGTGCAATGAATAATATCTGGCATCGGGTCCCTTGTTGGAAACATTTTCTGCGGCATTCAATCCGTTTCCACAAGTCCCCAGCTGAATGAGAGTCACTCTTGTTGGCATAACAGACCTTTAAATTAATGTACAAAAACTGAGATAATGTAAAACTATATCATACAGCCACTTTCTGAATGCTATAACTAAGATGGGCCTTGCATGAGCAGAGCAATGACACTAAATACCATCACCAATAATCCATGCATGAACAGGAACCGTCTTTAAAGTGATGGAATCGAACGCGATCTCTCACAATAATCTCCACATTGAAGATTTCAGAAATTAATCCAGTGACCTTGTGGCAGTCGTCACAGACCCGAAGGTTCTTGAAAATACGTATTGGCACTCCTGGTTTCAAGTTTAAAAGCCCCAAAGCAATGGCAAGTCTCTCGCTGTGCAGCCTAAGACTGTCTCGCTTGCTAGTGTTCAGCTCATCAACCATAGGTGCTTGCGAATAGTCAGGTTTATACCCTGTTGAATCTATCCTTTCTTCAACCACATTCAAAACCTGATATATTTCTCTAGTTTGAGGATGAGAGGTGTCCCCAGCAAAAAATTCGTGGGTAACACCATCTACCTCAATCAAACTACAGCCAGGCTCTTTCAATATGCCATTGTTTGTCATCAATTTTCTAACCAAGCCAACATCATTCCACCTGCTAGCCGATGCATAGACTCTGGATAAGAGCACATAAACTCCACTAGAATCAGCTTCTTCTGACTCAAGGATCTGCCTAGCTATATTTTCACTTAGCTCGATGCTTGCATTTTTCTTGCAACAGGAATCAAGGAGACTCCTCCATATAACAACATCTGGTTTCATGGGCATGCTTGAAACCAATTCCAAAGCTTCATCAATCAAACCAGCACGGGCCAGGATATCGACTAGGCATCCGTAGTGTTCTAACTGAGGTTCTATCTTGTATTCGTTAACCATCATGTCAAAATACTTGCGGCCCTCATTAACCATATACCTGTGGTTACACGCGCTCAAAACCCCAACAAACGTGATAGAATTCGGAGCAAATCTCGATATCCTAATCATACGTTCAAAACACTCCAATGCTAACTCACCTTTTCCATGCATGGCAAATCCTAAAATCATTGAATTCCATGAAGTTACATCGTGCTTTTGCATCCCCTCAAAGATCTGCGTAGCAATATCCAACGACCCACATTTGCAATACATATCCAACAAAGAATTGTTAACTAAAACATGATCTCTAGCTACAGAAACTCCACAGTTTCTCAACAAAAAAGCATGAGCCCACATCCCCAGAGACAAAGCACACAGGCCAGCACAAGCATTTATAACACTCTGAATTGTATACCCATCTGGCTCAAAGAACTGCTGCTGAAACTGAACAAACGATTGCAAGGCAGTTTCAAACTCACCAAACAGAACAAAAGCGTCAATCATGGCATTCCATGAAACCAAACTTCTCTGCGGCATTTTATCAAACACATTCTTTGCGGACTCCAAACTACCGCAGGAAGCATAGAAATGAATGAGGCTGTTATTTATATAAACATCAGATTGAAACCCACGTTTTAACAAGTGGGCGTGTGCTTGTTTCCCTTCAAACAAAGCAAACAGATATGCGCAAGCCTTTAAAACGAAGGGGAAGGTGTGGTTATCGGGGAAGGGTGATGATCGCTGTAGCATAGTGTTATACAGCAAAATAGCTTCTCGTTTAAGATGAGCGCTTTGGCTTTGTGCACAGGCTCTGATAAGAATGTTCC